GTCCACAAACAATGAATTTTTAAAAACATTAATATATATATATATATATATATATATATATATATATATATATATATATATATATATATATATATATATATATATATATATATATATATATATATTAAAAATATGCAAAAATAAACTCTTAAATATACACAATTTGCATATTTAAAATAGCGCAAGAAAATAAAATAATCTTACAATACACTTTACGGTCTGATTACGAGCAATACTGCAAAGACATAATCACACGTCTGTTGTCATATTTCGTTATATATCTATATATATATATATATATATATATATATATATATATATATATATATATATATATATATATATATATATATATATATATATATATATATATATATATTTATATATATATATATATATATATATATATATATATATATATATATATATATATATATATATATATGAATTTTTTTTCCTCTAAATATTGTACGACTATTATAGCGATTAAAGCCAGTTAAGTTGAAAACAGTTAGGTCTATGTTGGATATGAAGTGTGACTAAAAACTAGAACTTATTACTGCCACCACTCCCTCTTAAATTAGTGTCGAGACTGTCCTTGTAGCTATTGTGTTTTAACTTGCCCATTTAGCTATTGTGTGATAACTTGTCCTACATAATGTCAACATTCGACTTCTTGAATAGGCAACAGCCCAAAAACACTCCAAGAAGCTGCAAGGAAAAAGATGGCGGGTATAAATAGTTATAACTATGCGATATAACGTAGCAAGTTTTAATTTTTTATCGCTGTGCAATATAACGTTGCATATTTTAACCCATTCACGCATTAATGAGCTTTCTGACAGGCGGGAAAACAACTTAAATTAAGCTACAACAATATTAAATCCGAACAGCTTTTGTTCTGAAACTACATAAAAGCCACACGATAAGCGCAGTCTGATTAAAATCAGGTCTCCACTTGTATACATAAAGATCTGACAGCGACCAACCTATGGGTCGTAACCTCTATTATTACTATAATCGCTAATTTTATCAACCAATCAGATGAAGTCTTATATCTTCGAGTGTGGAGACTGAGCAGTGTGGATAGATAGCATAAATATGTACTGAACGATTTCATTCACTTTCAGATTTTTGAAAGCTGCATTTCCATTGGCTTATTCAAAAGTTAGCAGAACATAACCCTTAAGCGCTGTCGGCGTCAGGTCTTCACGCAGAACAGCGGTGATCTGATTTTAATCAGACTGGCGATAGAAATATTTTTTTGACACTGGGTCTGGAGTCTTCAGTGTCTAGCTTCTTAGTAATCATGCTAAACTTTATTGCCGCAATCGTAATTTTCTTTGACATGTTTAGAATACATATTTGCCAGCTAAGGTCAACGTATTTGATCGCTTCTTTCAACTTCTTTAGCTAGCTGATGAATTGTTTTGAGTAAGTACCCTCATGCGGATGCAAGAGGTACTCGCAGATTAATTGATTACTTACATCACCTTCAGTGATCTTTTAGTTATTCAACATGACATCTTCCATCATTTCTCTATGCATTGACTGGGAAGAAGAACGTGTGTGGAAATCATTTTAATTAGATAAATGTTGATGCAATATTGTCTAAGTAGGAATATATGCCCATCTATTTTATTATAAAAATGCAACAAGCAGTCCGATTCGATGAGTTCATTTCAGCTGCATCGAATCAGATAGAGCGATAGACTGTCAAGTGGTGATGTAAAAAAAGGTGGATTGAAGATCCTTGGCAAACGAAGATGGTGTGTACAAAACATATTCCGCAATAAATGATTATTTTTCAGATTAAAGTTTTATATATTATGAGCTTGAAAGTTTTAATTCTGCAGAAATAACTCTAAATGACCAGGTGAATATGTAGGTAAAGTACCATATCGATAACATGTCACATATGAAGGAACGTAACAGTAAACATGGGATAAGGAAATCTCTTTCACACAAACTCCAATTATCATGATTGTAACATTATACATGTGTAACTGACCAATCAGCACTCTGTGTATGAGTCCAATTATCATGATACTTGTAGTAAAGCACACCACACAACAGAGGGCATTAACACTACAAATAGAATCGGTACGTGAACGCTTCTGAACAGACAAGTGGTTCTTAACCTATGCCGTTGAGTGGGTCGCTGATATCAACCTTAATAATTTGAAATTTCTTACCAATATGTGGGGTTCGTTTTTAGCATTCGATGGGTTGCCGACTAACACCACAAACTTTAATCTGGGTAGACGCTCAAAAAGGTTAAGAACCGCTGGAAGGAACCATACATCTTATGGTTCATTCCAGTGGTTCTTCACCTGTGGCCATTTCTCTAATGGTAACAGAAAAAACAGATTCAGTCTCCAGAAAGATGGTGAAGGTAGCTGTCAGAGTAACTTAAAATAGGGGAAGAGACGTAGAAGACAAAATGAAAGAAAACTCATTGAACGGATTTTATGTCTGAAGGGGAGGGAAGAGGAGGGGGTACTTAGATTAAATCAGTTAATTGGCAAAACGTCCAGATTCACTAGGTAGAAAGGGTATTGGATCTAACTCCAATGAGTGCATCATCAAAATTAAAACAAAAGATTAACACCATGAAACTTATATTTACATTTTCTTCTTTTTGTTTCATTTTCTTTATCGGGTGGGGGTGGAGTGGGATGGGGTGGATTGGGTGGGTGTCGTTTCAGGAAAAACCCAATGAACTAGTTAGCCCAGAGAGACATATCAACAGACATAAAGGTCTTTGTATTTTGTAAAATAGGAGTTGTATCTATACAGCCCTAACAAGAGATAAATATGATGGGACGAGGCTGCGAGGTATCGACATATAAAATAATCACCGAGAATGAGCGACATTACAGCTTCAGTAATACAATTTAAGAAGCAAAAACAACAAAACTAAATTCTGAAGCGCAAATAAATATCGGCACTATTTACTTGCACTATTTTCCGGAAAGTGATCATATGAAATGAAACTAAATTCCTATTCCACAAAGTTTCGAACCCAGATCCGCGAGTAAATGGCACCCATCGCCATGCCTGCACGCACCAGCTAATTTACCGTCAAGACTAAGCACGCATCACCAAAAAACGATGGCACTGTGTCGGTGTTATATGAGCTCGTGCATAATAGACACACTCGCATGACGACCTATTAAATAATTCTCATATATATATATATATATATATATATATATATATATATATATATATATATATATATATATATATATATATATACAGAGTCGTTCAAGATATATATATATATATATATATATATATATATATATATATATATATATATACACAGAGTCGTTCAAGATATATATATATATATATATATATATATATATATATATATATATATATATATATATATATATATATATACATATACATATATATATACATACATATATATATATATATATATATATATATATATATATATATATATATATATATATATATATATATATATATATATATATAAGGAAATATCTATTGTTTGAAATAAAGGGAATTTCGTACCACAATTATATCTTACGAACCTGAATCATGGCAATACCAAGCGCCACTCCAATAATCATAACTAAATGATTCTTGATCGCATCATGGAAACTGTTGTAACAGCCCTGGTGAAAGGAAAGCAAAATACAAGTTAGTTTCATTGAAATAACCAATATGTTGGTGCTATCCATGTAAGAGATCACCAAACTAAATGATGCATATAGCACGATTTGGTTTAAAATTTACGTACCGATATATGCGATATATCTAATTAATTTTCCATTTAGCTATAAATCTTCCTTTCTTTTTACCTTTCATTCTTTCTGTCCATCCATCTATATTTAGGTCTTTGTGTCGTTCTATCTATCTTTATTCAATTGATGATTCAATCTTAAATTGCGTACTTTTCTAACCGCCCGAAGCAGGAACATCAATTTTTAGCGGTAAGATGCAGTGATCCAGTGATCTTGAAATTAGCTTGTGTTTAAGTACATAATTTTTCTTTCGGAAATGGATTTTACTTTTAAGATTAAGTTTGGCAATCTCAATGATTCTCTATGCCAGTCCTATTTGATGTCAGTCTAATCAATACCGTTGTTAAGTAAGTGTAATTGAGAAGATATTCCAAATTCTGAGATAAAAATGCTTTGACTCGACTTGATAGCTTTTAAGCTTGAAGACTTCAAAGTACGAATTAAATTAGACAGAGGAACTAAACCAAATGCCATCTTTTAGATTTCATATTTTCTTACAGTAGCAAGGAAATACAAAATCATTTATACAGTATGTAAAATAAAGGTACAAAAGTTTATAAAATACAACTCTGAAATCCCAAAAGAGCCTTGTGAGTGATACGAGCATAAGAGCACGATCCAATCATGTTTGAAAACATTCTTATTTTTGTTGTTGTTTTTTTTTTATACTTAATCCCATTTATCAGTAAGCAATAGGTTGTATATGGCGATTAGTATTACTGGTGGAGTAAAACCATTGGAAGAGCCAGCTACCCACGGGAAGATACTTGCAAACTTCCTCACATATCCACATTGGCCGAACAAGAGACTCGAACCCACGCGAAAAGAGGTAAGATGGAAGTGATAGGTAAAGGCAAGTGCTTTAGGCCACTCAGACACTCGGGTCACTGGTTGGAAGAATAAATGGGGCGAGCAGGAAACTGTGAGCTTTGGCTCAGTTTTGTTAAGTGATTGTTGAAACAAATCGTTACTCAAATTTAGTAACAGCGGTCATACTTAGAGATCCATATTGATTTCTTTTATGTGAAAGGCACCGACCTAATAATGCTTTTATCACCTTTATTTTTACATTTTCAGAGTGCTTAGTAGGGGTGACCATCGATTTATATTTAAACTCTTTTATGCAAGAAAACATTTTTTTTTAAATTCAAATTCAGTAAAAATATGTTGAGCCATCTCTGAATTTCTGTTTAAAGTCACCTATCAATATCAACCGCTCCGGTGGCCTAGTGGTTAGAAAGTTCGCCTCGGATGCGAGAGGTCCTTGGTTCGATCCCCGATCGAGTCATACCAAAGACTTACAAAAATGGTACTGACAGCTGCCTCGCTTGACGCTCAGCATTAAGAGGCTAATGTTAGGACTGGTCGGCCTGGTGTATGGATAATGTGACTGGGTGGGACATCATGCTACATGTTTGCGGCATGATGCCCCAGTGCTAAACATCAGTATTAACTACCATACTGCAGACATTGAAGCGATATGACTGAAAAATTGTTAAAGCTGCGCTAAAAAATCATTAACACCACACACCTATAAATTTTTTAGTAGGAATTGGCATCCCATGTTACTAAAGTGAAAGGCCTTGAGAGCTCGGGACAGAGCGCATACTGACATATTTGGATGTTGAGCCTCTTAATAAAATGTTAACAAATGTTTCTAGACTTAGTGGTAAGATGAATGGAGAATTTTGGATACAACTTTACTATCTGTCAAACTTTATCGATTTCTGATTCTATTTAGCTATTTTAGGGTAGATATTATCTATATGTCTATCTATACACACGCGCGCATAATTGTATCTCGTAGCAGCGTTATCTGACATAAATTTAAGCGGTTTTATGCCATTATGCTCTCTGCTAAACTTTGGATGAAACAGATTAAGCGGTTCTTTAAGATGTTGAAGAACGAGAAACGATAAATATGCACAATAGACAGCGCACATGATATCCGGGATCATACTACGCGTCCAGTTGCTGTTAAGGCAAGGATAATAAAAGAAATTACAATAAACTAAATTCATCTATTTTCGTTACTGTCTTAAAATTGCTGGATTGGGTATTTAAATTGGTAGGTTGAAACCACCATGAAAAACATTAACATTAGTACCCCACGAAAACTAATAAATTCACAGTAGTGTGATTTTTTTATATAGCGTTGACTTTAAAACTCACTAAGTCGAGCAACTGTATAGAATAAAGCAGGATTCCAAACATATTTATTCAGCCAACTTATTGTGATATTATGTATTATACGGTAAATCTCATGTAGTATAAAACGTATAGATACTTGTATGTATCAGACATTAATAAAAATTTTATCCACTGTGTAAGTACCATAAACTTAATAAACGGTTTATCTATAGTGTAAGCATCAAACACCGAATAAACGCTTTATCCAACGTATAAGTACCAAACATTAAATAAACGCCTTATCCAATATATAAGTACCAAACATTAAATAAACAATTTATCCAAAGTACAAGCACCATAAACTAAATAAACGAATTTATCCCAGCATGGAAGCATCTAACACTAAATAAACGCTTTATCCAACAAGTAAGCACCAAACACTAAATAAATGCTTTATTCAGCGTGTAAGCACCAAACACTAAAGAAGCTCCGAGTGGCCTTGTTGTTACGGATCACTTCCATCTCACTTTGTCTGAATGAGTTCGAGTTTCAGTCTCCGCTAGCGTGGGCACGTGAAAAAGCCTACCAGTAGCTTCTTGTGGGTCGGTAGTTCTTCCCAGGGGTTTCCAGGATTCTTCCTTCACCAGTTATAATGGCCGCCATGTATAACCTATCTTGTGCTGAAAATGGCGTTAAACCTTACAACAACAACAACCAAACACTAAATAAATGTTTTATATACCGTGTAAGTATCAAAACGAAATAAATGCTTTATCCGCCGTATAAGCAACAAGCACTGAATAAACAAGGGTGGAAAGCTTTTGATTTAATTTAGTGTTTTAATGGCACATCAAGGTATTAAAGGTCGTCTCGTGCCGAGGCCGTTACAATAAAGTACACCGCTCCGGTGGCCTAGTGGTTAGTGCGTCGGCTTCGGATGCGGGAGGTCGTGGGTTCAATCGCCGGTCGAGTCATACCAAAGACTTACAGCTACCTCGCTTGGCGCTCAGCATTAAGATATTAGTGTTAGGACTGGTCGGCCTGGTGTCAGGATAACGTGACTGGGTGGGACATCATGCTACATGTCTGCGGCATGATGCTTCAGTGCCAGACATCACTATAAACTGCCACACTGAAGACATCGAAGCGATATGATTGAAAAATTGTTAAAGCTACGTTAAAAACCATAATCACATCACATCACAATAAAGTACTATGCCAAGAGTCATAACAGAGCTCTCAACCAGACCCAGGAATCAAACACGCACCCTCTTGGAGGCTAGTCTAACCACTAATTGATCGCATACTCATGGGTAAGCTGGCTTTGCGTAGAATAAATACTATTTAGCCTTGGCATGACTTACGATCACATCCCTGTGATCACGAAATTTTCTGTTTTAATTTGCGATTTTTCCACAGCTCTGAAAGAATTAGGTGAGTATGCTATCTTCAAAGGAAAAGCTTTGACTCAACAAAGCTACTCCGAAAACTACCAACAAACGTGCTAATACAATTTCAGTTTCATTTTTATTGGACAACTTCTTTAATAAAGAAAGGATATTGCTGAATTGTAAATATCTATTTATTTGTTTACAAATATTAGCAGTTTCAATTGACATTATTATTTTTTCGTATTCACGGTTAAAGCATAATAATATAGACCTTTGAAGTTGTAGATTAGGGTCATAACATATTTACCTCTACACACAGTAATGACCGCAAATTAATGTGCTAATTATGGGTAATGATTATATCTGTGCCTGACCTGAGAAAGGTCGATACAATTAATTTCTTTAATTCAATCAGAACCAAAAAAGAAGATGATTTATGCATTGAAAAACAGGGTTCTTGCTTGGATTTTGTCTACTTAACACTTGCAGAAAATGAAAAATAATGCTGAATTAATTATAGTGTGTGTGTGTGTGTGTGTGTGTGTGTGTGTGTTTGTGTCTAACGCTTGACCATGGTTGTAAATTGTATTTCATTAGCAACATATTACATGGTTAACTTTTATCCATGATTATAGATTAAAATTTAAGATGATGATCATTATAAACATTATGTTTACTTGGATTTAAGTTCTGGGTCTTGGTTTTCCCCTTGGAAATTCTATAATTCAATGATCTACATGATTTTTTCAGGAAGATCGCCAAAATTCAAGCAAACAGAACTGACCTTGTCTACGAATTTGATGGAAGCGTCCACTTTAATTTACCTGGGTCCATAGCATTTTATTGTGTAATAATTCAGGTGACATGACAGACTGCATTTAAGGCTGAAGAAGTAAATAATTATTCATTCTTATTTTAATATCCGTCTTTGTGGAATCAGTTTTAGTTGTTTTCAGATATAACTTAAAAAGGAATTCTTTTTTTAAATAATTCAATAGAATTACAAATTACTCGTTGACATTTTGAACCAAAATATCATTTTGGGATTATTGTGAATTTATTCAAGGACAGCTAGGATTATATCATTGTGATACATCAATACTGTTGGTACATTAGTATATTCAAGATTAGAATTCATTCTGAACACCACTAGAATTCATTTGGAACACTATACTTTTGGACTTGTGATATAATATTTAGGGTTATATGGGATCTGAATCACAATACTGTAAGTTCCTCTTACATGTTTCCCTTGTAACTAGAGGAAATAAATTATTTGGTAAAGTTTACGACAGTTTTTGGTTTTGCATTACCTGTTATTTAGTTACAATAGAGTTAGAATAGTGTTGTAACACCACACAATTCTTTTCAAAATATAAGCTGATGAATTTGTAACCTACGATGGAAATTTTGACAAATTATCTGTTAAAAGACAAAACAATCAATCTGATTAAAATCGAGATGACTGACATTATGGAGATCTGACGGACATGAGGCCCTGTTGACTTTTTATAAGCAGATCTGGGGAATTTTTATCAAATTATTGAACCATTCGCTTTCAATAAGTTGCACGTCACGCATCTATGGGTGATTTCCTTTATCAGACGTGACGTTATAAGAGTATTCGGCTGTAAAAAAATTCAGATATTCAGAGCTTCTGTATCAAAATGTTGATCTTTTATGACAAATCAACTGTTTAATATTTTTATAACTGTTAGTCAAGATGCATTATTAATATTTTTTTAAATCTTTCTATAACAAAGCTTACAGTGGTATTTTTATTTATCCTAAAGCATTCATATTTTCATTTATGTATCCAATTTTTAATTTGAAAATAATTTTTAACCTTGATCTACCACATTATCTTTTTAAACTTAAAAATGGGAAAAGTTCATATAGTGATATTATCCATATGATTAAAATGCACATTATCCGTTTGAGTTACCTTTCTTTTAAACTAGGGTATAGTTTTTGGCGCACAGAATGTATGACCATTTTTGTAATTTCGATCCAAATAAAAATTGGAAAAATCTTCAGCTACGTTACCAATTGAATACAAGAACGTACAATTTTTGTGGTTAATACTTTGGACATAATATTTTTAGTAGACTTGGAATTTTTATATCGTTTTTAATTAAGTGGAAAAAAAATATTGTCTCTTTATTGTCAGCGGGAGATCTCACATAATTTTAATATCGCAGATTAGGTGAATATAATTGTACTTTGTGTCATTTTCCTTTCTACTTCATAATTTAAACGTTAAAGTATATTTTATCAATTTGGAAAATATGACATCGAGTTTTCATCTTGATCTAACAGAGTTGTCAATGTCAGCATATTTTTTCATTACATTGTTTAATTACCCCATCTATTAAGCGTAAGGTGTTTAATTATCCCATCTATTAAGCGTAAGGTGTTTAATTACACCATCTTTGAATTGTTTTGTGTTTTCGTTGGTTAACATTTAATATTAAATTAACTTTTAGTTATCGTTGATTTCTGACATTGAATTTCGATCTTGATTTATTACGTGGGGGAAAAAAAACATAATTACAGTCCTTAAATTAATAATAAAGTACATAGTTTAGTACGCACTCTTTTGCAGAATTGCCATCTAGGAAAAGGGCTTGTGTTTGCATTGTGAGCAGCACATGGTGTCAAAAATCTATAATTTATTTAGACGGGTTTATTTTAATTGGTATAATTGTTTTAAAGGCAAAATCTAGATTTCAAACTTGCTATCGTATATTTGTCATAATTAAATTTT